GGGGACTATCAGGAAGGTAAAAATCCAAAAATGCTAATGGAAAAAGCAACAGCAGGGGCCAGCAGAGAAAGGTTTAATATTTGTTTGATGTACTCTAGGTATAATCGAGATAGGGAGCCCATTGAAAACTCCTCCAGCCTTGGCTAAGAGACACTTAGGAGCTGTCTTAAGCAGCAGGCACAAATGAGTCTGTCTCGCTGCTAATGAGGACATCAAATGCCCCATTAAGTTCTGCAAAGCAGCTAGCTGCAATGGTAGAAGAGCTGCTCATAGACAGGGTATATGAGCTCTTCTTGAAGATCCTGGCTTTTGGTGGTGAGACACATGCCCCTTCTCCAGAGGCTATGGCTGCAGTCCTAGCTTCACTGACACAGCTGGGAGTAAGCTATTGAATTCATTAGGGTTTACTTCTGAGTAGTCACGGCTAGGATTGTTCTGTAAATCTGACTGATGCGTTTGAACAGGTTCTTTTTTATCAATAGGCAGTGAAGCCTGAAATAGCAAGAATGCTGCAGTAGTGCAAATATTCACTATTGCTTTCCCCTCCTTGAATTTATGGGTCGTGTTCAGAAGTATCACAAGACAACCCAGGACTTGAGGGGATAATCCAGTCTCTAAAGGTCATATAGCAACTGCGCACAACCTGTTTGGAATACCCCAGGCCCCACCAGTAGCCCACGTGACAGTTTAGCAGAATTATGGAAACCGTCTCACTGGCCCTGTTGGAACTCATACAGGGGGAATGAAAGCCCATGTGACATAAAGGAGTTGTTCACACATGCATGCTTATTACAGGACAGGTGGGTGGGTTTTCAGGGAACCACAGTTCAGTGGCAGAGCTCAAACACTGCATGCAGCAGCTCCCACCTTTGACCTGTGGAATCCCCAGTTAAAAGAACCAGATAGCAAAAGATGGGGATGTCTTCTGATGCAAACCCAGGAAAGGTGTTGCTTGGCAATACTGTGCTCCCAGTACATTTCCGAGCACAATTCAAAGTGTTGGTGCTGACCTTTAAAGCCCTAAACGGCCTCAGTCCAGTATACGTGAAGGAGCGTCTCCACCCCCATCGTTCAGCCTGGATACTGAGGTCCAGCTCCGAGGGCCTTCTGGCGGTTCCCTCACTGCGAGAAGTGAGGTTACAGGGAACCAGGCAGAGGGCCTTCTCGGTAGTGGCCCCTGACCTATAGAATGCCCTCCCATCAGATGTCAAGGAAGGAAACAACTATCTGACTTTTAAGGTAAAGGAACCCCTGACCATTAGGTCCAGTCGCGGACGACTCTGGGGTTGCGGCGCTCATCTCGCTTTATTGGCCAAGGGAGCCTGAGAACAGCTTCTGGGTCATGTGGCCAGCATGACCTAGCTGCTTCCGGCGAACCAGAGCAGCACATGGAAACGCCGTTTACCTTCCCGCTTTGCCCTGTTTAGGGAAGTTCATAATGTTTGATGTTTTATCATGTTTTTAATATTCTGTTGGGAGCTGCCCAGAGTGGCGTGGGGTATAAATAAAATTATTATTATTATTATTATTATTATTATTATTATTATTATTAGTGAACCAAAGCCCTTACCTGGTATAAGGCAGCTTCTTATGTATCTGTGGGCTATGGTTTCCCACACTTCGGAGCGTTTCATTAAAGTAGAAGCTAGTGAAGAAGCAGCAGCAGGTATAGTCATGTCCTGAGGCAAAGATTATCTCCAATTCCATAGGTGAAATATTAGGTTTCTTTGTTGTTGCTTTTGTGCAAGGTGGAATGCCTACCAGGAAACAATAGTGCTGGCTGAGGAGCGTGTGGTCTTTATACAAGGTGCTTTGCAGTTAGAGGGAAACAAAGCCAAGCAGGAAGCAAAGAAAAGAAAAGGGGCAGTGTTTTTGTTTTTGTTTTTAAAAAAGCATATTCTCAGAAAACATTTCCCCTCGGCACACCATGTGATGCTTTTCCTTCCCCTCCCAAGTGGACGCTTCTGCCCTGAAGTGTACAATGCAATTAGCACAAGCTTCAAGTTGAATGTTTCAAATGGGCCTTCTCATCCATTTGTAATACATTACATCGCATCTCGCAGCTCCCTTTTTAGAAACAAACTCATAAAACCTTTTAAATGCACAAGTGAAATTAGCTTTAATTTGAAGCTTAGCCTTAATAGAGCAAGCATTCAGTTGGTTCCTTTTAGGGGCAGGAGCGAAATTTCCCAGAATCCAATGAGAAGCCATTGAAACAGGAGATGGTCCTTAGAAATGACATGATCAGGTGCAACAAGAGGGATTGGCTCTCAGAGCCAAATCTTTCCCCTTAGATTTACCAACTGCCCAGCCAGAGGCAAAAGAGATTCATGAAGCAAGAGACATACCTTTCATTGGATGTGGGACTTGCAAGAAGCCAACTACATCGTTATGGATTCAGTCTGAAATAGGTTGCTAAATCTCTTTTTCGCTCTCTCTGCACACAGTGCAGACATTTTAGCTCTCCCACAGGCAGACTGAATGGCGCTCTCTACTCAAAGCATGTCATGGAAGGCTCGCTTAAATAGATACTAGAGGGTATCAACAGGTTTCCAAAATTGGATTTTCTGAAACAAGAATCTGTCATTAAACTATAATCTTGTTTCATTGGACAAAACGAAGATGAGACCTTGGCCAAAAAGAGCATGAGAAGAGCTCAGCTGGATCAACTCAGATGAACCATTTTGCTAGCATCCTGAATCCCACATTGGCTAATCTGTTGCCTCTAGGAAGTTGCCCATGACTAGTACCTACTGTGGGAGCTGGGATCAGAGATATAGCAAGCAGAGCTACCAAGTTCTGGAGAAGGATACTAAACAGCAAGCCAAACACTAACAGGAAGCTGTGGACTCATCAAAGGTCCAAAGGCAATGGAGAGATTTATATCCTCTCTGCCAGCTCTGCCTCTTCCTGATCATCTGCTGGGTCATTGTTTGAAGTTGGATTTCCCTCCTCCATAGTAGACCTTTCCTCCCAAGGAGACCACAGGCAATTGAGCCTTCTGGCAGCCAACCACATGGCCTCCTACAGCAACTCTGACCTCCCTCTCCTCAATGCCTAATATATTGTTGTGCGTTTGGAGGAGGGAATAGGCTGTATGCCTGAGTCCCTTCTAATTCCTGTATCCAGAAAGGATCTGATTGCTGGAATAGCCAGGCCAGCTTCTTGGTGAGTTAATGGCCCCCTGAAGTATGGGTTGTTAGAGTAACAAAGGAAGTGGCTTTGTGCCAGAGGACAAATGGGTAGGCTCTTCTCCCTCACCTGGCTGTTGCTGAGAAGGACAAAGGGCCAGAGGTGTGTGAGAGAGCTGAGCTGGAAGCAGCTCTCTGCAGGCAGAAGTCTGAGACATGCTTGATTTCTGCTTGAGTCCAAGGCTGTGGCTATGGGAGAAGCAAAACCCTCTTGGGGTATTAATGCTGTGAATCCCTCCATCATAGGCTCTAGTTCAGGGGTCAGCAAACTTTTTCAGCAGGGGGCCGGTCCACTGTCCCTCAGACCTTGTGGGGGGGACGACTATATTTTGCAGGGGGGGAAATGAACGAATTCCTATGCCCCACAAATAACCCAGAAATGCATTTTAAATAAAAGCACACATTCTACTCATGTAAAAACATGCTGATTCCTGGATCGTCCGTGGGCCAGATTTAGAAGGCAATTGGGGCGGATCCAGCCTTAGTTTGCCTACCCATGCTCTAGTTGTATTTGTGTGTAAATAAAAGAAAGACACCGCAGTCTCCACTGTCCCTCATTCCAAGAAAACCAAATTCTGAGTTCGGAACTGCTGGAATCTCATGCCACTGGGAAATTGGGGCAACAATACATATTTTAAAGGCCTCTAAGTCTTTGGCCATCACATCCTTGACAATGAATTCCCATATTTATGTGTTGTGTGAAATCACACACTTTTTTGCCCTGGTCTGTTCAGAATCTACGATCAATCAATTTCACTGGATGGCATTGGGTTGGATCCAACAAAATCACTGCACGAGTGGAACAAATTCTGCTTGCCTAGTGGAACTTGCCCTTCCTCCCATCAGAGAAAATTTGGTGTGGGCTTGCAGAAGTCACAGGGGAGAGGAAAGGGAGAGGAAGTTCTATTGCACAAGTGAAACTTGTTCATTCACATGGTAAATTTTCTGGATGCAATCTTCTGAGTTAAAATGTGGTTTCTCTGCAATGCATATGAACGCAAGATTCAACATCTGTAAAATACAAAATTAAAAAAGAATATTCATTTGAATCCAGATTATGTATCTGCGAGCTCTCCAAGATAGAATATCAGCCTCATTATCTCTTGGCTTCATCCCTCAGTCTCTTAGAAAGAAATTGCTCTCCTGTCTGATGAATAACATTTCATCTTAGAGCCGAATTCATAAAAAACGTGGTGTTTTTTTAAAAAAAACCTAACAGGTAATAGATCTGTCCCCCACTGTGCAGCATTGTTCACTGCATTGATTGTCCATGAGGATTAGACAAAAGCTTGACAAATAAACTGTCAAGGCTGGTCACAGTTAAATTGTGAGATTCCAGCTCCAGTTATCTTTATAGAAGTTGGTTGTCTTTATAGAAGTATTTTCTCTCTTTTTTCTATATAATACCACTTCTGGCAACAATTAGTGCATTTTAGTACTCCATTCAGTTCTGCTATCTAATTTGACTTCTTATAAAGAGAGGGGGGGTGAAGTTATACCTTGCATGTTTGGTAAATTCTGTTTTATATCTTTCTCACAGCCAAATGCAGCTGAGCTAATTATACTTTTGCTTTCACCTCCAGTCCTCCTCCGCAAAGGCCAGTTTCCAGGGACATCCCAGGCAAAAATCTTCCCAGTTACAAGTAACCACGCCTTCAAAAACCACACCTGTCCCACGATGCCCTATGTAACCATAGGAATGAAGAAGCTGCCTGAAATTGAGTCAGACCATTGGTTGATATAGCTCAGTATGGTCTGCAGTAACTGGCAGTAGCTCTCCATGATTTCAGATAGAGACTCCCAACCCTATCTTGATGTACTGGGGCTTGAACCTGGGACTTTTCTGCATGCAAAACAGAAGCTCTACCACTGAGCTACAGCCCTTCTTTTCTCAAAACCAGCCTTCAGAATCTGATAGATGAGTGCCCATGGATGACCAGGGTTCCAGCTCACACTCATCCCATGTGGAAACAGTCATTCTCACTTAGGGCTCATCCAGTCTTGCACTTGTTCCACACCTAGAGATCATGGGTTCAAGTAATAATAATAATAATAATAATAACAACAACAAATAATTTATACCCCTCCCATCTGGCTGGGTTTCCCCAGCCACTCTGGGCTGCTTCCATCAGAACACTAAAATACAATAACCTATTAAACATTAAAAGCTTCCCTAAACAGGGCTGCCTTCAGATGTTTTCAATAATAATAATTTATTATGATGATTTTCTGCTTGCCCCATGCTTGCTAGGCATGAGTCCAAGCAGTTTTGTCCTTGCCCCACGGCTTTTCCTGGGAAAACCTGCTCCTTAGCGATAAAGCAGAGCAAACATCAATATGGTCCATGTGGGGCTATCTTTGAAGGTGACTCTGAAACTACAATTAATCCAGAATGCGGCTGCCAGACTGGTGACTGGGAGCAGCTGCCAGGACCATACAACACTGGTCCTAAAGGATCTACATTGGCTCCCATTATGTTTCCGAGCACAATTCCAAGTGTTGGTGCTGACCTTTAAAGCCCTAAACGGTCTCGGCTCAATATACCTAGAGGAGCATCTTCACCCCCATCATTCAGCCTGGACACTGAGGTCCTCCTCTGAGAGTCTTCTGGCAGTTCCCTCACTGGTCTCATGAGAGTTGGAGTCCAACAACGACCAGTGACGGTGCCACACACCACTGTGGTAAAGCATGCTGTGACTCACAGCATCAAAGAATCATAGAACTACAGAGTTGGACCCTGAGGATCACCTAGTTCAATGCAGGATGATGCAGGTGTCTGTGTGAGCAGACCTGATTCCCTACATACATTCCCCACTTAGCACTATGTTGTATTCCATCTTGTGTTTTATCATAGGGTGATAAATGTAGTATATGGTATCAAATTAGCTAGGCCCAAAAGGTAAAAAAATAAAACCTATTAATCTAATAATCGAGTTACAAACAAGTGATAAATGTTTCTTTATGAAAACCCCATTGTTAAACATTCAGTAGAAGTGGTACAAATTGGAACTTGGAGTCAATGAAATTAATTCAAATGGTGTAATCATTTAATTTTTGCCCTATTTGAATCCATTTCCAGGTTTCAGCCTTATAGCTATGCTGCATGGTCTTAAGACTAACAAGAGGGCATAGCTAATGACTCATCTCTGTCAATGCTCCTAGCTACTGGGAACTGTGTGTGTGTGTGTGTAGATGCAGACCTCAGAAGATCAAATAATTTTTCTTCTCTATTCCAAGTATTCATGATTTCTTTTGCAATTGTTGATGCACCTCTAACTTTGCCTTTCCCATAACCTCACCTGTATAGAGAGAAAGACGTGAAACCTTTCTTTATGGATGCTAAGGTGGTAAGAGGCAGAGGTACTATAATCTACAGCTGAATGATCTTCTCTTTTTCTGCCCTTTTTAAAACAAGTTTGTGCTTGTCTCAGCACAAAAGAATCGGAGAAGAAAAGCCACTCATAAAAGCCTAAAAACATTGTATCGACTGGTGAAATCATAAAAAAGTGTCTTGACCTGCTAAATGAATTAACTTGCTAAATGAATGCATTTGCATACATCTAAATAAATGAATGCATAAAGCCCAGGCCAGACACTTACCAAACCACTCATATGAACAAGATGCAAACGTGACAAAGGTGTAGATTTTGACTTGTTTGTCTTTTCAGTACTCTTAGCTGTGTGCATTATAGTTGTATGTGGAAGGGGACACTCTCAACACAGGAAAGGACTTTTTTCTATGTGGCAATGGCATTTGCGGATATTTGGACACAAACAGTTTTCCAAAATGGAATGCTGAAGATTTTTTTGGTGTCACAGAGGTAAAGTGGATAACGGGCTTGGAAAAATGTAAAAAGTCTCAAGGTTGCTTGTTTGTTAACAAAAACATTGTTCCCTCTGGAGTGTAAGCCATAAAACTTCTGAAAAGTGAGTGGGTGAAGAAGAACACCATCTGAGTGAGAAGAGCTGGGGAGATAGATGAGTTGGAAAGCCCAGAAGCGAAAGGGCTGATGGGAACTTTGTGAGAGATCTCCAAGGGGCAGGGGAAAGGGAGGAGTCCTGAACCCAGGGATGGGATATATCCAGTATCTTTTCAATCCACCCTGTCATTCCGATTCAATTTGTTACTTAGGTCTGAATTTGATCTGTTAAATCTGAAGGTCTGTTTTGCTCCTGTTGATGGGAGGGACCTATAAATGGCTACAACTTTTCTTCTTCACACAAGTGGATGAAATTTGTAGGCAGTGTGCTTCCTCCCCCCCACCTAAAGTAGACAAACTCTGCCAAATTTCAAGCATATCTATCCTAAGAATTTTCTTTAATTTTCTTATTTTCTTCTAGAATTGGACACAACTTGCAGACATGGCCACTGCTTCTGAAGTAATGAAGACTGTCAGACTTTAGAAAGATAGGTACTTGGTTCCCCCTCACCCCGAGCAGACTTTGCTTTTTAGGGCGGGAAAATAGGAATCACTTACCCAGGCCTAATGTTCTTTTCTTTTCTTTTTTGAAAATCAGTTTGAAAACTGGGGGCATAAGAGAGCTGTGGGAAGGTGTTTGAGGCCAGAGCTGTGAGTGCCACATGCTTTGCCCTTTCCTCCTGGTGGAACATCTGCCTTGCATGCAGAAGATCCCAAGGAGAAACCCCTGCCTGAAACTTTGAAGACCCACTGCCAGCGAGTCCAAACAATGCTGAGCAAGATGGTTCAATGATCTCAACCTGTGGGTCCCCAGATGTTGTTGGCCTACAACTCCCATCATCCCCGACCACTGGTCATGCTGGCTAGGCATGATGGGAGTTGTAGTCCAACAACATCGGTGGATCCACAGTTTGAGAAACACTGATATAAGGCAACTTCCTATGTTTCCCTCTGAAGCCAACCTGCTGCCCTCTAGTGCCATGGAGGACATCAGTTCATTGCCAGCATTGGCACAAGATTTCAACTGCCAATCTGGTCAGGTATTGTACATGGAATGTGGGTGGTACTATCTTGTCATTCACCTCAGGCAGCAAAAGGTCTTGGGTCAGCCCTGTGTGCTGAAGATGCAGCTTTCACTTTAGGAACCCACTCGTTTGTTCATTCACACTAAGCCATGGTTCGACTTGGCAGCACACACAAACCAAGCCGATGTTTTGGTAAGCAAGAAATCAACAATTAAAACTCAACGAGTCTAGCCAGAACCCGGAAGACCAAGGGTGAGTGGGAGTACATGGGTCTCCAAGGGGATATTGACTAGACTGTTTTCAGTGGTTTCCATTGTTTATAATGCTCCAATCAGGAAACCCAGCACACATATTTTGACATGACACACAGGCTGCCTTTCTTTCCCCCTGACAATGCGTCTTCCACTCCATGAGCATAGTTCTAAGCATTTTCTAAATACACGTTTAAAAATAGCCTCTGAAGGTTGAAGACCCAGAGATGGAGTAGAAACAATCTCATTGCATAACGACAACAGCGAGGAATCGGCGTGACATTTCAGTAAATGCTACAGCCATTTGTAAGTGTTCATTTCAGCCGGTACCCCATCAGTTACATGACAGCTATTTGCTTAACATCCCAGGGAGAATTCACTTGGTTTACAGATAAGCTGTTTAAGGAGGCGCTGGTATCAAGATGTAAAGTGTTATAATATGGACAATTTGTTACCACCGCAGCCGAGCGTCTGTGTCATTACAGCTTGCAGAGGTAGGGATACAGTTGGCTGTTTCTTCAACTTCCAAGCTAATGGAGAAAGCGGGGAGTGCATCGTGGGGGAAGAGGAATGATGAGAATCAGGGAAGTTGCATTGCTTGGAAAAGACCAGTGCAGTTTCAATTTGCAAAGGTTTGTTTTCAATAAAAGTTGACTAGCGTCCAGAAGTTCATTTAGGTCTGTTTCACATGGCTCATTAATAGAGAGGAGACTGTTAGTGCAATGGAGAGTAGAACTAGCAGTGGTTATTAAATGAGATTGGCAAGCAGTGGGATGCATCCTTTTGCTTGTGCATTCCCTGCAGACTGAATGTTGTTGGGCCTCACAGAGGATGAATGAGGGGGTGAGTCGTTCTGTAATTGTTCCATGTCTTGTACAGTTCACTGCATGGCACCCGGTGTTCACCATTATTAGCGACAGGATACCGGGGCAGAGAGTTGATCTTGTTCTTACGACTCAGAGAAACAGAAAGCTGTTGATTTTACTCTGTCGGCTATTTGTGTTCCATAGAAGCAGCCTCCTTTTTTAAAAAACAAAACCCCCACAGCAAATACTTGATTATCACTTTCAATTTATAGATAAACGCATCAAGTATCACTGCATGGGCATTCTCTTATGATGCACGCAGGCTTTGTAAACGGAATCCAACATAACAGAAACAAACAAGATGTTAATGTGACAAGAATAAAAAGGGAAGAGAGAGAATTTGGAATGTTTAACTCTACAAATTGCAGCACATATCCCTCTACTTCATGATAACATTCAGTATCTTACAATGGTGGCAAACTTTGAAAGTGGGAACTTCAAAATATGAATCTTTCTGTTCAGAAATCCACAGGCCCAGTCTATAACAGGGCTTGCCATCTCTGCCAGCCAGCCCTTTCTGACATCCAGCTCCTGTTCCCAAACAAGCCTATATATCAAACAGATGGGGTAGCCAGTAGTGACACGGGCACAGTGGGTGGTAGTCAAACAAGCTTTGCTTGGAGTAGACCCATTTAAACTAATAGCCATGGGTAAGTTGGGTCCATTAATGTCATTGGGTCATCACTGAGCTAGTTGACTTTCACCCAGTCAACAGCAGAGGCCTTGTATGATTGGTCTTTAACTGGCAACAACTAAGGAATGTTGATCAAGAAGGCCATTTCCTCCCAGAAAATTGTCCTGGATAATTGGGAAAAACC